ACCTGTCAAGACTTACCACCGTACTTACCCCAAAACTAATTCATGGAAACTTGTTTCTCAACATTCTTTTCTCAATGTAAGTTTTCAAATCAACTTTCAAAGTTTAATGTAATCAAATGAATTGATATGCCAATAACACAAGATGAATATAAATACTTTTATTTCAATTCATCATTCAAGGAATAACACAATTCTCTCTTCTCAAGTATCCTCAACAATTAGTCATTTCAAGACTATTTCAACGTTTTGAACAATAATTTCCAAGATGAACAACAATTCTCATATTCTCTAAAATTCATCATTTATATAAATATAAATAAGAAATTTTCCAAACATCCATTTATTTTGACACACAAAATAAATATAACAATATCATTCGTAGATTTTCAGTCTCTTTAAAAAAAATCCCCAAATTCTAGGTTTTTTCACCAAAACTATACAACTCAAATCTTGAAAGAAAACTTTCCAAAATCATATTTTCTTCAATCAACGAAGATCAAAACCCATAAGATCATTTTAAAAGAACGAGAGACAAACTCACTTTCAAAATTGCTCAACTTCTTGAATTAACAATCAATTTTCAAAGCTATCGAAGGATAATTTTGAAAATCATCTAGATCTTGCAAATATATATATATAACTCTAAGAAAATCCCTACCTCAAGTTTTGAAAAAGAAATGAGATGAAACCCCCAAAATCAACGATGTCGAAACTCGATCTTCAGCGCACACAACGAAGCCCTCGAGAAGTTGACCAACTTTGATGAAGAACCTATGGCAGAACTCTAATGAATCTTGAGAAATCAAGGTTTTGATCCAATTTGGCGTAGGAAAATGTAGAGAGAAGGGAGAGGAAATGTTTTTCAGAGAAAGAGAGATATACAAAAGTGAATTGAAATATCAGATTCACGAACTGATATAACATGGTCTGCTCGAGCGTGGAAAGCCCCGCTCGAGCGTCGAATATACCTTGCCAGTACTTTTGCAGACAGGTCAAACTTCTGGAACCAAACATTCTCCACTCGAGCACATAAACGGCGGCTCGAGCGGACAAGCAACTTTGAATGCATTTTTCATTTTTGCTTCGGGGGCGTTGCCCCTCGACCCCAGCGAGTTGACCGGGCAGCTCGATCCCTGACCTGCCCAATCGAAGTGGCAAAACATGAAAGAAGGGTCGAAACCGGGATCGCTACACCCGGCCTATTGATAGTTTTTTTAATGACAATTATAACTTCAATTAAAATTATTATAAGAGACACAAATTAAAATAAAACACAAACCCTCACAAAAATAATATTCAAAATTAAACACTCAACCCTAGTAAATCAAATTGAGCACCCACCCCTATCCAATCAAATTGAAAAAAAAGTACATGATCTATCATTCTTAGAACCACTAGGCTGCACAAAATTGATGGAAAAGATTAAGAAATTAAATAATCAAACAATAAACTTCAGTTTTACGAATGGATATTCAGTGCTAACACTCATTTTGTCGACATGATAATCACTCTCTTTTTTCATTTTTTTTTTTGAGTCCATTCTCTAGCGAAAACAATAATTGGAATTCAAAAAATATATATATATATATACATATATATTTGATCAACTTTACTTGAAAGTATCATGTTGTTAATCCTTTTGGATTCTTACAAATGGTGTCATCGGTAACCAATGCAGTGGGAAACTGTGTGAAGCGAGCTATGGTCATTATGTCCTTGGTTATCTTCTTTCAAAAACCTATTTCGTAAACCAACTGTTTTGGTAAACTCTCTATAACCAACATATTACTAGTAAAAGATGCCTCTCTTCACACTCGTTTGGTTATTGCCTGATTTGTGAACTGCGGGCACTACAAGAAATTACACTTTTGCCGACCAAAAAATTAGTCGGCAAAAGTCCATTTTAGTTAGCAAAAATTTTCCGCAACTAAATTTTTTAGTCGCCACTTTGGTCGCCAATGGAGGGTCGGGAAAAGGTTCTATTTGCAGACTAAATTTTAGGTCGCTAAATATATATTTACCGCAACTAAACTATTTTGTAGCTAAAACACTTTAGTCGCCAAAAGTGATATTTTCCCGACTAAATATGTTAGTCGCTAATTGTTCCATTCCCCGACCAAACATGTTAGTCGCCAAAAGTAACATTCCCACACCAAACCTATTAGTGTCCAAAACACAAAGTTTGCCCGACTAAAACTTTAGTCGACAATAGACCTATTCGTGACCAAACTCTTTGGTTGCCAAAATTTATAATTTTACCGACTAATTATTTGGTCGCCAAATGTACCCTTTCGCCTACCAACATTTTGGTCGTCAAATGTGAGTGGTGATACACTGACTAACAACTTTAGTTGGCAAAAGTATTACTTATCTTTCCTGACTAATCACTTGGTCGCCAATTCAATTCTTTTTGTTTATCAAAATATAATAATCCATCAAATCCATTCAATATAATCTGTAATTTGCAAGAATCATTCAAACCAGCAAAATTAACTAAATCACGAACATCTAATAAAATACATAAATCATCCAATCCTTAACTTGTTTAATTAAAGTCATAAACTATAATAAGTTTTCATCCACAAGTAATTCCATACTACATAATTGTCCAATTAAAAATATCGTGTAATCTATATAATCATCCAAAATCACATCCATCTAGTATAAAAATTTAAAACATAACTAGTACTCTACATATTATGTTTTAAATTTTTATCCATGCACATCTATCCGAAAATATAACTAGTAGTCTACCCAAATATTCTCCATACAAATCTATCCAAAAACATATAATCCTTTAAAAAATATAACAAGTGCCAATTAGTCTTGTACAATTTAGTTTGTTGCACGAGTTCATCCATTTGTACAAAAGAAAAAGATAAAAAATGTCAAGTAATGTTTTTATGAAAATATTTGCACATCAAATGATTGTAAAATTGGACAAAAAAAATAAAAAGTTCCATGGAAAGAAAAGGTAATGCGAACAAGAAAGTAAAGGTAGCAATTAAAATGATATTTTTTGCCTTTTTTCCTCATATTTTTGTCTCTAATTCTCTAACCGTGCTTCCTAGCAATGGGCCGCTTGCTCTCACAATTTTGTTTAATCTAGGCCGAGGTGACCGTGATGATCTCGGTGCTGTTTCCAATTTTTGCCCCCAAACGGCCTGTTTTCGTCTTTTTTCTCTCGCATTTTATTTTCTAAATCTCTAACCGTGGGTCCTATAGATGCGCTGCTTGCTCTTACAAGTTTGTTTAATCTAGGCCGAGGTGATTGTTATGATCTCGTGGCTGTTTGGGCCTGTTTCCAATTTTTGCCCCCAAACAGCCCGGTTTTGCCTTTTTTTTCTCATATTTTCTTGTCTAAATCTCTAACCGTGTGTCCTATCGATGCGCCACTTCCTCTCACAAGTTTGTTTAATCTAGTCCGAGATGAATGTGATGATCTCGGGGCTGTTTGGGGGCTGTTTCCAATTTTCACCCCAAAATGCCATCCTTCAAAATAAAAAACAAACCAAAATCGAAGTGACCAAACCAAAATAGAGAGCGGACCCTTAGCAGCAGCAGAGCAAATGATCACCTGCCCCAAAGTATTAGACCATAACAGCAGCAACAGTAGAGCAAAGGCTCTTTTGTTTGGACAGTAAAAACTTAAGGCTGATTACTTCTATTTGTGTGGATCCTTATATTTACTCTTGAAATTTAACTTAAGAAGATATATTGCATATTGATGTTCTGTTTGATCTATTGTTTGTTATGTTTGAACAAATAATTTATAATTAGATCAAACACTAAAAACTTACAATAGAAACATTACCTATAAACTCTTTAACATACTTCCAATTGCAAGGTGGTGATTTCCCTTTCAATACCTGAAGCAACATAAAAGTCCAACTAACTACCATTACCAATTGTACATAGGAAATATGTTTTTCTCAATATGCAGTAGGCTCAACAAAAATATTGAAAAAGAATATAAATAAATATGCATTTCATTTCTCTCCTATATTTGCTACAAAAGGTTTCAAACTTTCAACAATAATCAAATATGAAACACATCACTACTTTTTAAATGCGATTACTAGCTTATGAGTTCAGAAACAAAATCATAATTGTGTATCCACTAAAACAAAATGCACCTTTGGCAACTAAAATTGGCAACTAAAAAAATTTTAGTCGCCAAAAGTTGTGAAATTTTTGACCAAATTTTTTTTTAATCGGCAAAAGTACAATATTTAGCTACTAATTTTTTTTAGTTGTGATATATTGATTATTGGCCCCTAAAAAACAAATTTAGTTGTTAAAAATACCAGAATTGGCGACAAAAAAATTATTTTAGTCGCCGTATATTGAGTTTTTGCTACTAAAACTATTTAGTCACCAAATGTAAAATAAAAAATTACTTTTTATCTTTGGCGACTAAAACTTTGGTCGCCAAAAATGTATTTTCAACGACTAAATTTTTTTTTTGTCACCAAATAGTTAGTTTTGGCTACTAAAATTATTTAGTCGCCAAATGAAAAATAAAAATTACTTTTTATCTTTGACGACTAAAAATTTGGTCGCCAAAAATGTATTTTCAGCGACTAAAATTTTTTTTTGTCGCCAAATAGTTAGTTTTCGCTACTAAAATTATTTAGTCGTCGAATGAAAAATAAAAAATTACTTTTTATCTTTGATAACTAAATATTTGGTCGCCAAAAATGTATTTTCAGCGACTAAATTTTTTTTTTGTCGCCAAAAGACTAAAATATTTAGAGGGAAATATTTCAAATTTTGGAGGGATGCATGAATTAATTAACATTTGCTGACAAAAATTAGTTTTTTGGTCGCCAAGTTCCCAAACATGACTTTTAAAACAGGGGCCAAACTGGTATTTGTGGAAAATAACTGGGACAGTTTAGTAAAGTGGTAAAATTTTGAAATCCCAAGAAAGTGTTTTTGTTTTTAATTTTCCCACCCAAAGTACCCGCCAATTTTCTTTTCTACATTCAATTCAAACGACCAAGTAGAAATATTGGAAAACCACGGAGCTGAGGGAGAGAGAGAGGGAGAGAGTAAAACAAATCATTTTCCACCAGTTGAATTCATCGTCTCTCCACTTTCACTCTTCGTTCTCCGAACTTCTCAGGTCTCTCTGTCTCTCCTCCGACATAATACAATACATTCCTTGTGTATCGTTAATTTCTTTCTCATTTTCTGATTTCCAAAAAACAAAACAACAATGATTTCGTTTTTTGTTTTTTATTACTGAATTTGTTAAGGATGTGAATCTTGTGGATTTGGTTGTGAGATGCAGGTGGAAAAAATGGCAGGAAAAGGTGGAAAGGTGCTTTTCGGCCGGAAAGACCACAGCGGCGGCTGTGGCTGCCAAGGAGAAGGAAAAAATGCGTTTTGTCTATCCTCTATTTTTCATTCTACTACTGAGTTGCTGAATGCAAGATGTCTCTTGTGCACATTGTAGGGGTCATTATTAGCTTCTTATTTTCTCATGTTTTATTATCTGTTTTCACGTGTTTACGTTCACAATTCTGTATTTTGTTAGCATGCAGTTCTTATACACTTTACCATGTTGTAGGCAGTTGTCTGTTTGGATGGAGATGGCTGCAAAATCCGAACTGGATCATCGATAATTGAGGAAGATTCAAATCTCGATACATCAATTTCTTGTGACTTATGTGATATATGGTATGTGTAACTTGTTAAATTTCGTTTCATTTACAGATATAGAGACATTGATGATGATTCTATATCAATACGGAATTGGTAATTAGCTAGTAAACTCTAGCGACCTGTGTGTTATTCAAATGCAATAGTTGGCCATGGTATGGAATTCACTAATTCAGAGAGTGGAAATCTGATTCTGTATGGGGCTGAGAGATGCATTTGCCAGTGAAGGGCTTTGGTGCTTCATGGTTGGTCTCTTGTATAATTCTCAGTTGGGCCTTGTTTAAGGGAGTCTTAGAGAGCCTTTTGTTAGAATTAAGAATTTTAATGATTAAAAAATATTGGGATTTTTGCAACTATTACTTGCCCTAAAAGAACTGATGTTGCATTTCAAAATTTTGGCGCCGTAGTTCATAGAGATCTGAACTCCATGCATGTAAGGCTTAACAAATGATGCTTCCTTTGTCATAACAGTGGGTGCTTTGTTTAAATTGCCTTAAACCTGCCGTCTGCTAGCCCAAAATTAACAATCTCGGTGAAGGCAATGTTCTGCCTTTTATAATCCATATCCAGTTGCGATGGAGAAATTATTATCCATGATAATTTGATGGGATTGTGCTTTCAAATGTTATATTTACTGCTAGCCTTTGTGATTATATGTTTACTTAGACTATGTTTGGGCTTCGTGGGTCAGTGTAATAAGTGTAATTTTTTGTATGCATCTCTTTCAATTGGTCTCTTTTAAGAATTTACTTTAATTTGATTCATCCAATCCTTATGTTTTCCAATGTAAGTGATGTTACAGCACCAAAGAACTGTAAAAAAGATGAGGTATAGAAGAGGAAGGGAAAGAACTAGGAGGAAGGAGAAAAACAGGGATAATCCTAATCAATATTCAAATTCTTCAAAATCCAAGCCAAGTCTGATAAGTTCATTACATAAAGGCCTATTTATAGGCATCCTTGGAAAACCCCAATAAATTCTAATTCTAATCTTCAATTTATCTTCATCCAATGCCTTTGTGCACTTTATCTCATCCAATTTATCTTCAATTTATCCTCATCGGCTCTTTGTGCACTTTATCACAAAGGGGCAGATATGGATTGGTTAATTCACTCTCTATCAAGGTATTTCTTAATCCTTCAAGTAGTATTGAGTTTTGAATACAGATTGTAGCCAAAAATTAGTTTTAATGTTAAATTAATAAAATTAATTTAACTCATTCTGTTTAATTTTTGTTTACTTCATCATTTTGATGTGAATTTTAATTATATATTGTTTTATTTCCAGAACAAATAACCTTGAAACATATATATAGAATTGCATCACTATTCAATACTATGTAGTTGTTATACATAGAGTTCTATAATTACCAATAGAATTAAGCCAAACAGAAGTTGATAGAAAATCAATTATCTTTCTTTATGAACTTCATAAATTGATATGGAGTATTCATTCTGATGTATTCCATGTAGATGCTGAGTAACAATTTAAACATGAAGATTTTTCTTTTGCAGGTAAATTAAAATGTCTCTTATCTAAATCTTATTCCTCAATTATTATTACAATGTTTCTTCCTAGTATTTTCCTTCTGTTTACCTATAACCAAACAGGGGGCAATGTGACTCACATTTGGTTTGCATTAATTTTGGTATTTGAAGCTCACAGACACACAGACACTTGATTAATCTGATTTGGTTTTCCCTTGATCATGGCACATGTAATTGTTACTATTTTTTATGAACAAATTATCAATAGTTCCTAGAAAGATACAGTACTTGTTGAGAAATGCGACAGTGTAGAGTTGTACTGGACATATTTTGTTATTTCAATACATCAAATCCAGAAAATGAAGAAATTGATTCAGACTCAAGAAACTGTTTTTGGCTAATGTAATGGCATCAGAAGAACAATTGTCATTGAGACAAATTATTGTGGTTAGGGGTGGAACCATGATTTTTATGTTAAGGGGCCAGATTAATACTATGTTATTAGGAGATTAAAAAATGAATGATATACATTTTAGGGTAAATTACATTGACCTCCATATGGTTTGGAGAAGATATCGTAAGTCCTATAGTTTTGTTAGAAAGTTAGAGTTATTAATTTTATAATTGTTATAATTTGAAATGCCAATTTTATTGAATAAGTGCTAATGGTTATTTTATTTATTTATTTATTTTTTACAGATTGCTTTTGTGTGGGCTATTGTGGATATTTATTTTTTTTGTACGAAGAGCATTTGTTCAGTATATGGATGACATTTATTTTTGTACAATCCTCTGTTTTGGAAATCCAGTGTTTTTGGATGTAATATTTAATTTAGATGGATTATACTTTATTGGTATGGATTTATACGATATTTGGAATATGATACAAGTTAAAGTTTTTGGGTAGTTGATAATGAAATAGGTGTTATTGATAATAGATTTAGATTATAATTGATAGATGTATTATTTTGTATATGTAAAAGTTACAGGTTGCATTGATAATTGATAATAGAATGCATGTAATTTAAAAATTAATGAAAAATATTCAATTTGTGCATCTTAAAAAAAATTAATAAATAGAGTTTTTGACGACTAAACATTTAGTAGTCAAAAAATAAAAGGGAAACTTGTTGGTGACTAAACAGTTAGTAGCCAAAAAAAAATGAAAGTTTTTGGCAACTAAAAAATTAGTAGCTAAAAAGGAGCACCATAATTTTAGTGATTAAAAAATTGGTAGCCAAAAAGGAGTGCCACGTTTTTAGCGACTAAAAAATTTGTAGCTAAAAAGTTGATAAAAAATATTTTCTTTTTGGTGACTAAATTTTTTTTTTGGGCGACTAAATTTTTAGTTGCCAATTGGTGACTTCGGCGACTAAAAAAAAATTAGTTGCCAATTCTTTTGCCGACAATTTGTTAACGACCAAACGGAGTGACCAAAAATTTTAGTTGGCAAAAATCTTTGGCAACTAAAAAAATGACTTTTGGCGACTAAAAATTTAGTTGCCAAAAGTGTAATTTGTTGTAGTGATCCAAGTGAAATTTCAGAAATACTATCATTATATTACATAGTTGTAGAATCCTTTATAAAATGATGTCAGTTTTAGGGTTTGTTTTTATTTGCTACCAATTTTTCAGCTTGTCTTATTGTCACGCCCCACTTTTTATTGCTCGGAATTCATTACCAAAAACCATTATTATAAATTCCATTTCAGAGATAACACACAGAAGCCCAATATATTTACCAGAAATACATCAATAAGAGTTCTCTCATTTGGTTACAAAATGAATGCATCATGAAAGTAATTAAGTTGCCTGTTGGCTTACATCATTTAAATCAAGAGGAAAGGGTTTAACCCTTTTACATCAATGGCACTCCGCCTACACATAGAAAGGCCCCGTGGCCAATAAATAAGAAAGATCCATGACCTTGTAATAGATCTCACTATTTACTTGAAAAGGATTAGCAATGTGGGATGAACATATAGTCTAGTAGGAATTTCAATATGATCCTAAACAATAACAACTTACAGATAGCTATGATCATGAAATACTAATCTCATACCATATAATTAATGTGACATTTTATAGCCAAAGTATACATATATAATTACTTTTCTCGAAAACGTTCAATTTATCCAACAACACCAAGGTTAATTTTTACCACCCATTTCCCATCTAAACAATTATTACATGAGAACCATATTTTCCACTTATGACAAAACACCTCCCAATAATCGATTCATTTCTTTAAAAGAAAAGACACATTCACCCAATTCGATTTCCTTCACATTAGTAATACCCAATACACAACAAAATTCGTCTCCGCCTGTTTCTCAAATTTTTCAATCATTAAACTCGAAATTCAACGAGATACCTTTAACAAAATAATTTATGGTGGGAACTCCCTCAACCACTCCCGAGCACATCCAATTACTCATGAACACCTCTACTCAACATATTAGACAATTCAACCTTACAAAAATCATAATCGTCATGACACATGACACAAACAGTCAAACTGAAACAACAATGATACATAATCTTTGCTCTACCTACCTGAAGCATGTAAGCTAATAGTACATCTCTCCACAATAACATGCCAATTTATCAGACACCAACTGGAAGGGAATGGTACCTCTGCCAATTCTCCAAGCGCTAACTGGAAGGGAATGGTACCTCTGATTCTCAGCGCAACACACATAGCCAAATCTTCACGCGCTAGCTGGAAGGTAATGGTACGTTTGATTCTCAGCGCATTACACATTTTTTTCAGTCGTTACTTCACACAATCATTTCATCATTCACAATGTTATCTTCCACCGATGACCAAGGACAAAACCTTTAACGATGTATTAAACCTATATTGCCATTAACCAATTCTCATGAAACTTAGACCCAATTACAACAATAGTAGAATAAAATATATTTGTGATTCAATCTCAAGTTGATTTCCGAAATTCTCATAGTGTTGGTGTTTCATTCTTCTATTTCTAGATCAATTATATTACTCTTCCACATTAATATTTCTCCACCCTTGCCTCCATCCATTTATTTCATTTCACAAAAAGGATATGACCAACTTAATTTTTCCTTCATTTTAAATAAGGGATTTCCAATCATCGCTAACAAAGTGATAATTTACTCAATTTCTACTTAACGACAATGTAACCCAATGATGTTCTAGTTTCATGGTTAATTCCATTCTCTTCAATGTACACATTATCAACTCATTTCAATCAATTTGAACAACACAACACTAAGTCAATGTTAAGAATTTATGAGGCTCAATTAATCTCTAATAATTCAAAAATTCATTATTTAAATCCCTAAATTGATATCATGTTATTTCCACAATTAAAATTCTTTTTGTCAAATGAGCATCATTGTTAGAAGTTAAGGCTTCACCTCTCCCTCTACATAAACAAATTAAACCATTACCCAAAATTAATCCTACTACAATGAATCTCCCAAATCTCAACCTCACACAACCCATCATAGATCCCCATTCATGATTTTTTTTAAAAATATCCATCACCACATGGTTTTTATGCAATACAAATTTACCACATGTCTATCTATAGGTGAAGTATTGAAGAAAATCAAAGAAATCCCTACCTTAAAAGAGAAGAGGAAAAGGAGCTCAAAAATCAACTTCGCCGGAAAACAATCTCCACCGGTCAAGACGAAGCCCTCGACATGCTCATCATTTTGATATAAGGGACTAGCATCAAAATCCCAATAGATTTTTGGGATCAAAAGAAAATGCAAGGTTTTGAAAAGTTTGGATAGAGAGAGTGTTGGGTATACCTCCTTATTGGAGTGTGGGACACAATTGGTTTATTAAAAGAGTTTTAATTTGGTTTGGTTTAGGTATAATATATTTTTATATATTATATTTAATTTGTGGAGACCCAATCTAATTTGGAAACAACTAAGGTTTTGAGAAGAAAACCATAGATTCAAAATATGATGTGTATTGTTTTTCCTAAGAAAAAAAAAACGCAGCAGCAACAATTCTTTTTTTTTTCCGTGAGAGTGGTTGGGGTATCAATCAATTTGGTGGGATTTGCTTTGTGGAACAACTAATTGATTTATTGGACAACAGTGCCTTGGTGAGTTTCAATTAGATTGTTTTCTTTGGATTTGACTTGGTCAATTTAAGGTTTGGTGCCTTTGGTTTGCTTTTCTGCTTCGTTTCGGCTGCTTTGTGTGGAAGTTGATTTGGTTCGTTATTTTGGGTTTTCTACAACTCTGGTTCTGAAGATTTTGGTTCATCTATTTGGTGAGATCTTTTCTCTTGTTTATTTGTGATTATTTGGAATTTACCTAAGGGTGGTTTTGTGAGACCATTAGTGTCTCGTTTGTAATCGTTTGGAACTTATTTGGTTGATAGTGGAATCGGATTTCGATCTCGTGGACGTACCTCACATTGAGGGAACCACGTAAAATTCTTGTGTTGCCTTTTATTTAATTTTTCCGCATTAAGTTTTTATTCCCATTGATTGATTTACTTGTGGGGAATCATCGATTTTCCCTGACAACTGGTATCAGAGCTTACGGTTTATTTGGATCTATTTATTTGTGTAAATCAATTGAGGGGAATGTGGGTCGTATGTCTAGCTTCAATGGAAACAATTAGGTAACTTGGAAAACTAAAATGGAGGACATATTATTTTGTAAAGATTTGTATGGACCCATTGAGGGTGATAGTGACAAATCAAAAGATGGTTCTTTTTCAAAGAAAGACATTGAGTGTTATTATTGCCATGAGAAAGGGCACATGAAGCGAGAATGCCGAAAGCTCAAGAACAAGGAGAAAAGGCGTAACAAAAGTGTGGATAAGAAGCAAGAAGACACAACGGCAGTTACTACTGATGATCTCATGGTTGTTTGTGAAGATGATTGTATCAATTTTGTGGGCCAAGAGAGCAATTGGGTGATTGATTCTGGTGCTTCTTTTCATGTGACTTCTCGAGTTGATTTCTTTACTACCTACACCGAAGGAGATTATGGTTCTGTTCAAATGGGTAATGAAAGTTTGTCCAAGATTATTGGTATGGGTGATGTTTGCTTGGAAACAAATTTGGGCTGCAAGTTGTTGCTTAAAGATGTGAGGCATGTTCCCGACATTCGCCTCAATTTGATCTAAGAAGACTCATACACTTTATTCGATGCAAGGAAAAATTTGTAAAGGTGTTGTCAACGCACTTGAAGATGATACTTCTACTGAATTGTGGCACAGGCGACTTGGGCACATGAGTGAAAAGGGGCTGCAAGTTTTGTTCAAGAAAGAGCTTCTACCCGGTTTGAAAGGTACACATCTCAAAACTTGTGTTCATTGTTTGGCGGGTAAACAACATAGAGTTTCTTTTCATAAAAATGTTGTTTCTAGAAAAGAAAATGTTTTGGAGTTGATTCATTCTGATGTTTGTGGTCCTTTAAAAGTTAGAACACATAGTGGTGCACTTTATTTTGTTACTTTCATTGATGATTATTCAAAGAAAGTTTGGGCTTTTGTACTAAAAACTAAAGATCAAGTTCTAGAAGTATTTAAGCATTTTCAGGCCATGGTTGAAAGAAAAACAAGACAGAAATTGAAGTGCATCCGATCAGATAATGGTGGTGAATACATTGGGCCATTTGATGAGTATTGTCGC